GAGAGAGAGTGTAGTCGTAGCGGTAAAGCATCGTAGACCGTGCGTACTCCATCGATTTAAGAGTGAGGAGGGTCGAACGAAAGAGAAAGAGAGAGAGAGAGTGTAGTCGTAGCGGTAAAGCATCGTAGACCGTGCGTACTCCATCGATTTATTATAATTTAGATTGTCTTTCTAAGAAGCCGACTGTACGTGCACGTACGTATACACACAGGACGCGCTTTAATGCGCTGCCGTTCGTTAATTATTCCTCCGGCATCCCGTAAATATGCATGAATTATATATCGCGCTGCACGAACGCGCTGTGGATACGGGGACGAATGATTAATACACGCCTCTTTTTCTCTTTTCTTCGCCTTTCTGCCCATTTTTCCATCCCTCCCTGCCCCCCTGTTCAGAGTCCCGTTCGGTTTACGGTTTTTCTCGCGGCTGAAACGGAAAGGAATCGCGGCGCTGCCTCGCGAAATCTCCTCGCCCCTCTCGCCGTTACTCGAGCGATCGGTTCGAGAGGGATCGCTCGAAATTGGCCTTTTTATGGATTAATTAGGTTGGGGGATATCGCTTGTGAAATATATTCCTCTGTTTTGTATAAAAATCAATGGTAATGTCTGCGGAGTATTGGAGGTAATTTATGCGGTCTAATGAAGGATATAGTTCGGTTTCCAAGTTGAAAAACGATCGAACGAAGAGGTGGTAAGGAGAAAATTGCGTGGAAATGTAGGCGCGTGGAAGTTTTATTGATATATTGCTAAATAATAAATGAGTTAACGATGGTTTGGTGTAAGAGTGGGAAGAACGAGACCAAGGTAGAATGAAAATGTTACTCATCTGAAAGGAGAGTATTGTATTCTATACAGCAAAGGTATCATGCTTGCAGTTGGCTAGAAAGAGCAGTATTCTGAAATAAAAAATTGAATTAAATTAGTTTCTTTCATGTTTAACATTTTCCGCTAACATTTCAATCGTGAGGTTTCAACAACACTTCTTCATCATTCCTCATTCCACATTCTTCGTCATTCCGTCATTCCTCGTTCCTTCTTCATTCCACATTCTTCTTCATTCCTTCATTCCTCAAAGTATCACAACACGTCTGACACAGATAACAAGTTATGAGAAACGGAAATTACGAGGTGCTCAGCAATAGGAAAAAAATCCTACACCGAATAATCATCACAAATTCCAATCTTCACCCCTCGCACTTGGATGCGTATCGGCGGAATTGTACGTTTGCCGGTGGTATTTTAAGAAAATTGACAATCCGGCCCCGGCCTTTGTGCAGCTTTGTAATCGTACAGCACCGGTATAAAAAATATTCAACGGCTTGATTGCCAATATATCGCGTACCCCGTTGATTGAACCCACCTCGGTGCACGCCTACACATCCACGCCGCCTGTTAATTTCGAATATCGCCGGATGTACAATAGAAAAATTGCGCAAAGCGAATTATTTATGTTTATATTATATCACGGGATACGATTCGATACGAAATGCACAGGAAGAACCGGAGAACGAGAACGAGTGGAAATTTTTCAACACATCATCGTTCTCATCCTCTCTCTCTCTCTCTCTCTCTCTCTCTCTCTCTCTCTCTCTCTCTCTCTCTCTCTCTATGTGTGTTCACGTGTGTGTCATGCTCTGGAAATCGTATTATCACGGAGGGAATTTCGTTAACGAGCTTCATTTCGCGAAAGAATCACGGGGCTGGTCGATCACAAAGAATCGTCCGGGTACATCGCGAAACATTATAAATTTGCGCGGTTCGATTCGAGACATCGACGAAGCTTTGTCGCTGACTGGTCGTCGACACACACACGCAAACGCACGCACGCACACAAGTACAAGGGACAAAGTGATATCGAGGCAAACGCGCGCGACTTCGTCTCGCTGATTTTTCTATTCGTCGATGATTCGTCGCCCGCGCGCTCCGTTTCATTCTTCCTTTTTTCTTCCTTTTTTTTTTTACACTCTCCCTTGGCCCCCACATCGAACGGGGGCGTGTGTGTCTACCACCATTATTTCGTAGCGAAGCATTTTAACGTCGGCCAGTTGGACCGTGAATGATTATTAATCAATTTTCAGCGTTAAACGTGCCGCCGCAATAAAAAGCGTGGTACGTTAACGAACCACGCGCGTATAATTGAGCATTTTGGCGAGAATGATTGCGAGCCCGTGCTAAAACCTTTGCGTGCCCGTTCGATTGATTTCGGCCGGCAAGGAGAGAAAAAAATCGGCCAGAGAGCGGCTGATAAAGGGAAAGGGAGGGAAAAAGAAGGGACGACTTGTGCACACCCTTCGTACATTCTCATCTCTGTGTTCTTCTTTTCGTTTTTTTAACGGCTGGAAAAACCACGTTACCAGCGATAATCATGCGTGTGTGCAGGGTTTGGCAAATTCAACAAAGCAACGCGAATGTTTGTAAACTTCCTTATTGTACAGGCTGAAATTAAATTGTTTGCTCTTCAATTCCCTTTTTTGCTCCTTCGTTCGTTTGTTTTCAAATTGTTCTCCGCTCTTAATGGGCCGCTTGAAATTTTCTTTCCTGTCGCATAAAATGGTCGAAAGAATCCTTCAAGGCGACTGTTAGCGATACTTTGTAACACTCGTTTTGTGCTCAAGTTTTCACAATTTTAACGAATTTATTTTTCCCTCGTTTGAATTGAAGAATCTCGTCGAGTCGAGTATTCGATAGAAAGGAAATTAGGATATTCCAGGAAATTTACACCGAATTTCTTTTTTACGGGAAATATCGGAAGATACAAATTTACTAGGATGCTCGAAGAGACCGAGTGTCTGAATGGTTCGGACCTGACGTCTCGAGGAACGCTAAATTTACCAATCTCGCGCGTGTTCCCTCATTCGAAATTTATTTAGTATGTCACGGTGCTTACGCAACAGCGGATTAATAATATCACCACAATACCGGTCGATAATTTGAAAAAGTTGGACGCGTACCGGAATACGGTCTCGACGAGCGTCATCGAAAGTTGGGACGTTTATCGAATCCCCTTGGGGTAGGTTGGGTCCAGCGGTCGTGTTCACGGTGTCCTTAAACAGGTAGAAAGTCGGAAGTTTGCCGGGGCTTACCTGACCTTCGTGAAATAATCAGTCGCAGTATCAGGCGAACTCTCCGCAACCACACTCCTACTTCGACGTCATTCCCGTTTTATCGACAAACCGACCGCGATAATTGTGTCACTCGTTCACGTTACTTCCCCTCTTATTACGCGCTTCTCGGAAATTCTGATAATCGTGAAACGTACACGCGACACGTTCGACAATCTCTCTCCAATATTCCCTGTATTTTTTTTCTTTTTTTCAAATGTTGTGACGACTTCTTGGAAGATTTCCGTGTTCACTTCGACGTCGAGGAGGACAGGAGCAGTGTTTACTGTTCTTAGCTTCGACATGTAAGAAAATGTTTCACTATTCGATCGAACTTGGATAGCCACGCGAGAACGACCCAAGTCCAGTGTCAACGATATCGATCTCTTTAACCCTTTGCCGACGAAGGACTACGTACCGTGTCCAGATACTGATTACTTGTAGAACGTGCAACTAGGTCAATACTTGAATTCGGTTTCTCGAACTATATCGTGTCGGAATGATGTTTTACTCAAGTACACACTACCGGCCAAATGCTTGGAATTACTGTGCATTGCAAGTTACACAAAAATTCGCAGAAAAAAGTCAGCAGCTTTGAGAATTTTTTATCATTGAAATCAATCGATATGAGACAAATTGCTATTTATCTATGAAAAATTAGTAGCAGATTCAGTACTGATGAAAATTGGGAGGTGATTCCAAACTTTTGGCCGGTAGTGTACGTATTTACGTGAGTTTTGATGACCCATAAGTAATATGTCGTTTTACAAGCACAGTTTTTCTGTATAAAAGTAGTAGCATTTACATTTGAAAGTCTCGATAATAATTTACACTTGCTGTTAATCGATGCTGCTACATTGAGTTAATTGTGATATAATTGACTTGTGTCGAGTTAATTCGTTTTATTCTTCACGAAACTTTTAGAAATTCTTATCTTCTGGATTAAAAACTTATCCAATGACTGTATTGAGTTAATTGTGATATAATTGACTTAGATTGAGTTAATTAATTTCATTCATCGCGCAACCTTTTAATCCTCTCTTCAAGAAAATTCTTATATTCTGAATTAAAAGACTGATCTAATGCTATCTTTAAGTAATCTGTCTCTATCTTCTTGCCATTTAAAATATTTTGTAGTAAAGGAAATAGTTGGAAATTCGATGGTGCCAGATCAAGTTTCACTTTTCCTATAGTTGTTTCTTGTGTGAGGGAACATCGAGCCAAGATGAGAGGCAATTTTACTCACGGAATGTCCAACCATTCCATCTTCCTCACAAATGTATCAACTTACCGATTGCGTCGATGTTGAGCGTCACATTAACCGGTTGAGTTTCTCGCGAACTCACGCGTCACTCCACCGTCCTCGAAGTGTTCACACGCGTTGTTAACGCCTCGTCACAGTCTACCGGGAAGAAAAAGAGCGAGTGAAATAAAAAGGCGGGACGGGGGAAATTTGCGACGACACGTATAGTCGAAAGCACTTTGTTTTGCTGGCGGCGACGCTCGTACATTTCGTAATTGTTATCAATACGGTACAAATGCGGGGGAGATTTCAAACGCGGCGTAATAAACGAAATAAAGTATCGCCATTTTCGTCGTTGACAGAGGCGCGTTGCCTCCGCGGCAGAACTTTTCGCCCGTGTTTTCACCGGTGCCTCTTCAATCGTAATTAATATTTTTTCCCGGCTGCTCTTTTTCCCTCTCGGTAAATTTGCAAAAAAAAAAGCTTGATTTCGCCAGTGTGCAAACGTGCTATCTCCCTTCCTCGCTCCCTGTCTGTTTTCTCTCCCTCTTTTTTCGTTTGCTAGCAGACGCGAGTTTCTAATCAATCGGATCAATGTAAGCCGGAATTATGCAAATCGGTCGAACTGACGATTCGATTTGACGATTGTGTTTGCAGGACAGCGACAGGAGTAGCGTCGGCAGCCCTGAACCAGTGGCAGCCACCACTGGCTCGCTCCACGAGCATCAGATGATGATGGATGAGATGAAGAACTCGCGGAAGAGAAGTCCGTCTCCTGAAAATCTGCATCTGGCGAAACGAGCGGCGGTGGCGCAGGCTCATCTCAACGGAACGAGTAAGTCTCGATAATCACAGTCGTTAATTAAACGAAACAATTATCGCAGACACCTTTAAACTCTCTGCTGATTTTACTGAAATTTTTTATAAAATTTCGTAACAATTATTCATTCCTACCTCCCCCATCGAAATGTGTGATTACGACCAGTCGTTATTTTGAGAAGAAATGAGAAACATTCGGGTGATGAAGAATTAAATAGAGTATTCTGCAAAAATGTTAAATAAACGTCTGCTTGATGAATTTGATATAAGCTCCAAGTGAGCCAACATTATTGACATCGTGAATTAAGTAACAACGTAGCTTTTAATTCCCTGCTTTTCACGACATATTTACCGATTTGCATATTTCGCATTTCGAGCAGTTAAATATTTACATAGACACCGTGAAGTCATCGTGTACTCGAATTTAACGAATAATTGCCGTTGTTCCATCAGTGGCAGGCATGGTGACCCTACAGAATCTTCAGAGCCTGGCGAATCTGCAAAACCTACCGCAAGTCGCGTCGCTAGCCGCGGGTCTCCAGGGAATGACAGCGGGATTGACTAACAATCAGCTCATCAACACGCCCCTGAATCTCACTGTCAGCTCCTCCGGTAGGGATAGAAACGATCGTCGCATGGTTAACAAACTGACACGAGAAACCTTCACACACTCTATCTATCTCTGTCTTTTTAATCAATATCCAAATGTTCTCCTTTGTCACGAAATTCATGTTGAAAACACCCTCGAAAGTAACACGCACATCACGCACTTGCACTGAAGAAAACTTGAACGTTGTCAAATGATAATTATACACACGTAAAGGTTGAATAGGTTGGCTAAGTGAAACGTCAGATTCTTTTTTCAGCCAATGACTTTTCATGTTCAGGAAGCACAGTACCAACAGCCTCAAACACGACAGCTGCACCTCACCTCCTGCCACCGAGTTCGACGCCAATGGCGACATTACCTCAGCTATTATCTCAGCCGCAACCGGTCGCGATGCCTCAATTCATCCTAACGTCCGGTCAATTGGTTCAAGGCATTCAAGGGGCTCAGCTTCTTATCCCTACGTCGCAAGGTAAGCCTTCTGTTTCTTATGTGTTCGCGCGCCCTTTCAGCTCTCGAAACGAGGATTGATCGACGCCCGTTAGAGAGGCTCGTTCCCCGCGAGGCTCGAAATAAGGCCGTCAACGTTGAACGTGTCACGTAAATTGATTGTGCGTCGAACCCCTTCGAATATGTGTCTCTCTTGGACGATCTTTAAATACACACACTCGGTGGATTCGTGGCAAATAAATTCGGTATCTCCGGAGGAAATGTGGTCTTATTCCATCGTGAATTCGTCGAACGCTTTGGCGCTCTCGAAATGGGTCAAAGTGAATTTGGAAATTTGCAAAATTATCATCTAGTTAGGGAAATTATCAGAGTAACTCTAAGAATCCCACAGAATCCTTCGATACCTTTTTTCAATATTTAAAAGTTCTTTTTTTCAACTTTAATCATTTCAAAAGTTTGACATTGCTCAGTATAATTCCCAACTCACGACAGTGTCATTCTCTCCGCTTCACTGTCCTCCATTGCACCACAATAAATGATTAAACTCAACGTCCCCGAACTTCCGTCGCAAGCTGTACATTTTCTATTACACCTCACGCGTTAGTCAGTCTTTTTATCGAGCAGGCAAAGCTTTCGACTGGTCCAAGCTGTCGGTGTCCTGAAAACATTCGAACCGGCTACTCGCAGCCTCACCTGTGAAATTTAATTAAACGACGGCTACAAGGGTCTAGATAGAGAGAGAAAGATAGATGAAGAGCCCTGAGGAAAGGAAAGAGGGAGGCGAAGACGTGGTATCTCGTAGCTATCAGTAAACGAACAAGAAATCTTCAACAATAACCCTAGCACTAAGTACCTTCGAATTTCGGGGCATAAATCAGTCCGAGTGGTCTCATCGTGAAATCTGCACGATGTGCCGGCGCATAATGTTGTGCAATCAAGATGTGCTGATA